CGATAGGTTCTCTGCTTGTCTCAATAGTTCTTGCTTTAATATCTATCCATTTTGTCCTGTGAACTGGTTATAGTGTGAAGAGGAGACAATTCAGATATCTAACAATATAAAGTTAACTATCACTTTAACAAGACAATTCAGAGCTAAGAGTCACTTAAACAAGACTTTAATCCTCCAATGATACGAAATAAGGTGTCTTAATTGATTTTAGACACCTTATTTCTTATTTCGTATCACCCAAGCACACTCTTGATAAATTTTGTTGACTTCTAAGATACATCCTATGATGATTATAGGCTATAATAGATAGTTGTAAAACTCCTTTCCTTAAAAACGTGGCGGAGGCTGGAACCATAGCTCAAGATTTCCTAGTTCGAGTTTCCCAACTGACTTGATAACTCAGGTGATAGCAACTGCTTCACAATCACTAAACCTGAGTGCTAAATGAACTCATGCTTTGCCGAAGGGTTTAGGAGATTTTGATGAAACTATATGTGTTTCCCCTGAAGAATTGGTATTTGACTTCTTTCAGGAAAGGTGTACAGAGACATAGTGGGGAGTGCTTATTATGTCGCCCCTGAAGTATTACGTCGTAAATATGGGAAAGAAATTGATATTTGGAGTGCTGGAGTCATGTTGTACATATTACTCAGTGGTGTACCTCCATTTTGGGCAGGTAAAAAGCGAAGTACTTTCTTTTTCACTTTCGCCTTGCTATGTTCTTTCGGTCGAACATCCTGTCGCATTTTCTTTTTCGAAAAAATGCGTGGCCAGTATTGTGAATAACATGATCTTTATTGCAGAAACTGAGAAGGGCATATTTGATGCAATATTGCAAGGACATATCGACTTTGAAACTGATCCATGGCCAAAAATTTCGAACAGTGCCAAGGACCTGGTGAAGAAAATGTTAACTCAGGACCCAGCACAACGGATTACATCGGCACAGGTTCTCGGTATGTAATTGTCTACGAATGCTTTCTTGAATCCTTACTAAAACAATTGGCAAACAATTGGTATGTGAATCTGTAGCATTTAACTCGGGGTAATGCCGTTTTGTATCTTATTTAGACCATCCATGGATGAGAGAAGGCGGAGATGCGTCGGATAAGCCAATCGACAGTGCAGTATTTACAAGACTCAAGCAATTTAGAGCAATGAACAAACTGAAGAAGCTTGCCCTGAAGGTGATCATCCTTATATTTCAGAAGAAGTTATACTTGATTGAATTAACAGGTAGTTTATGAAACAATTGCAGGTTATAGCTGAAAATCTTTCTGAGGAAGAGATCCAAGGCCTGAAAACAACGTTCACGAACTTGGACACGGACAACAGCGGAACCATCACTTATGCAGAATTGAAGTCTGGACTGGCCCGGCTTGGCTCAACGCTAAGTGAGGCTGAGGTCAAACAACTTATGGAAGCGGTAATATATGATTTAACATCATCGACCACTCGAAGTTCCTTATTTCTTTTTCCTGACATGAACTGAAAGAACCTCGATCGCTGTTTCAGGCTGATGTGGATGGAAATGGTTCAATCGATTACATCGAATTCATCACTGCTACGATGCATCGATACAAGCTAGAAAAAGAAGAGCACCTTTACAAAGCCTTCCAGCATTTTGACAAGGATAACAGTGGGTCAGTCTCTCATCCTAGAACACACAACTATATAAACAAACATTTATCTTCTTTTTGAATCAATTTATTTCAGTCTTTCTGAGAATTTTCTTATTGTTCTATCAGTTATATCACAAGAGATGAACTGAAAGCTGCAATGAAAGATTACGGAATGGGCGACGAAGGGACTATTAGAGAGATTATTTCCGAAGTCGATGCAGACAACGTAAGTTCATCCATATGTAGAGTCTGAAACACGAGCTAATCTTCTCTGGTAAAATGCAACTAATTTGTGTTCGGGTTTCGTAGGATGGAAGAATCAACTACGATGAGTTCTGTACAATGATGAGAACTGGAACCCAACAAGGCAAACTCTTTTAACATGTCGAAGGATACCGAAGATCGTCGAAGGGATCGCCTAAAGCTTGGCCATCGGCAGCAAAATGTTTGAGACAACAGCTAAAACATTGGTTTCGGGTTTTAATGTGGTATTTTTGCATAGCAATTGAATTGTTGTTTATATCTGTGTAAAATTTGTTGGCCTGTGTAAGCCATGCTGGATTAATTTGTATTTGCCTAAATGTACTTGTTTACTTGAGTATTAATTATGTCTACTTGATATTTGCTTATGTTTTATTTAATGGATGGAATTTATGAAGAAGGCTTGCTCGTCTCCATCCTTGCAACCTATGGGAGTTTCATGCACCATATAATAATATTGACTAATCATCTCATAATATACTTATATCATAGTATAAACCTAACATAAACCTAACATAATACACATCAAACAATCACAAAACACGGCATGTGTAGGGGCCACAGGGCACGTGTCATTCATACTTTAAATAATTCATCCAACCAATCAATAGGAAAGAACACCTATATCTAGTTGGCCTAAGTTGAAGTCACCACACTCCCTTAACTTAGCTTCTCCTTAAAATCTAATTCCATCTAGGGAGTCTTTCAATCATAAATTAAAATTCTACTATGAAAATTAGCTCATAATTTGCGTTGAATAATCCTAAGAGTACCTATATTAATCTTTAACACCTTTGAATGTGTTATAGTAATCATAGTTCAGTGTTTGTTAGGGAATGTATTCTCCATTTGTCTCACCTATATACAAGGAAATGAGATAATTTTTTGAGAATAATCTATTTAAATAACCATTCAACGTCACAAGGAACGAGTTGGAAGATGAAATGCTAAAAACGTCAACTAGCTGACCTACTAGAATAGGAACGTTCTCACAAGCGAGCAAGAGGAAAAGAACTTTCTTTCACACACAAATGATGATAGAGGTTGTAGGAAGAACCATGAGTATGCAAACAACCAATTTAGGTGTCCCATCAAATTTCAATTATTAAAAATTGAAAGGTTACCAATACAATACACATTGAAAAACAAAATTAAAAAACTGTGTTACAAAACCTAATAAAACACAACAAATGATGTCTACTCTAGAGTTCAATCTAACAGGTCCACAATTGTCGATCGTTCCATGAAAGAAAAATTAGCAATGGTGAGTATATAATATATTCAATTAGTAGTTCACTTAGACCTAAAAATTAGGTTTAATTATAAAGTCTTAAATAAGGTTTAACCTAAACTCTCAATTATAGGTCGTATACCACAGGTAAGCCTCACTTTGCTTATTTGAACCAAACGAAAATCGAAAGTCTTATGACCATGCTCCCTTACTTATGAGCATTCTTAATACCTTTGATATTTTAATAATCCCTCATTTGTCTCTTAGGATGTTCGGGACTTTGGATTAATAGATAGCCCTCTAATAACTCCTACAGCCACTCAAATCATGTAATCTCATCATTTACAAGAGAACCATAAAGGGTCAAAGGTAAGCTTTAACCTTAATTGTACCTTACATAGTAACTCAATCACGTAATCTCATGTTACGTAGAGTTAAAGTAATTGGTATAACTAGATCACCAAATTCCGTGTTCTCTAGTCGTTCAATTTTCATACAAATTTGGAGTTCTTTTGACTTAATTTCATGAAGTTTAGTGTCTTTTAAGCTCAATTAAAATTATACCTATTCATTCAACTTTCTAAAACCTACTCGTAGATCCTTATGTAACTACTTACTCTCATGACTTGCTTGTGTGTAACTGTTGTATAAGTAGTCTTGGGTTTTCTAACCTGAGCATTTAAGTTCTACAATATGACATAAGAGGGAGAGTCCCTCGTGTTTGTCGATTCTATGTGGTCCCTTGTTCTACTCTGACAGGAATAGTTAGAGATCCCCTAATCACACTCACATAGTGTACGCATTGCGCTGTTAGATACATATATGTCGTATAGAATTTGGAAGCACAAATGTAGACTCTATCACTAGTGATAAGTCTCTCAATAAGGATTAACTAAAAACCTTTTCATAGTGTCACAATCATACAATCATATGACACAGTGGACGTATCTAAAATAAAATATTTCTTTTATCATGTTTCATACACAACTTGTGTGGAAAGTCTACTTAGCTACTCAAAGTCGATTACATCCTCGATGAGTCTTTGTATTATGATCTTGATCATAAGTAACATAATCAGACATATATATAACTTGTGAATATATAATACTTAAATGGGTTGAACTTCTTGGAAATATTTTGCCCCTATTTTAATCCAAATACCTTCATTTCTTAAATAATAAAAATTAAGAATGATATTGAAATAAAAAAAATAGATAAATGGAGGTCGAACCAGATAAAAAAAACATGTCCACGTGTTCACATGCAGTCAAGAGCATGCCCACATGCATGGACATGCGCACGTTTTAGATTCCTCCCATGCGTGTGCGCATTTGAGCCCCAATAGTTGATTCATGTTTTTCTCTTCTTTTTTTTTGTTTTGAACTTCATCTCCTATGTTCGAGTGTTGTGTGTCACAGTTATGTTTGTCTAAGGCATGTTGCTTATGATCGCATGTCGGATGTCCCAATCATGCTTGTCCAAGACATGTTGTCCATGCCGCATGCCCATTCCAAACCTCTTTTACTATTTCATGTTATGCCAATACGGGGGTGTATAACCTGTCACCAAAATCATGTCTACACCCGCCAAAGCTAAAATGTGTCAAAATATACTATAGGTGGATCTAACTAGTCGTCAATTTTTCGTATCTGAGTTATATGCTATCAAAGTTGTTACCTATTTGCTTTTGACTTATAAAGATGCTTTCTTTACGATTATTTTCAACTCACATTTTTCAAAATATTTCTCTCAAACTTGAAGAGAAGGTCAGAACAAGTGTTAGCTGCTACAAGTAACACCTATTTGTATTTAGGGTGTTCCCTTTTTCTTTCTCCTAATTTAAATCTTATTCTTCTTTTATAGTCCAATATTCGTTGTTCACCAAATTGGAAGAAGTTTTAAGTACCAATCCAATTGAAAAAGAAGATACAAAAATCACATTCATACATTCATGTTCTGAAAGCCTACATGAAATTTGTGGATCAAATTCTGTAAGAGTAATTATCAAAAATCAAAATCCTTGAAGAGCCTCAGCTCCAGCAACAATTTCCAGAATTTCCCCAGTAATCTTAGCCTGTCTCTCTCGATTATAAGCAACCAAAACAGAGTTCTTCAACTCCAGAGCATTCTCAGAAGCATTACTCATGGCGTTCATCCTCGCTGCCACCTCACTCGCCATGGATTCCTGCAAAGCCCTCAAAATCTGGCTGTTCAAATACAGAGCTATCATCCCATCCAAAATCTGAACTGGGTCTTGTTCAAACTCCAACAATGCCGGAATTTCCTCTAAATTCCCCCTTTTCCCCTCTCTCTCCACCTTCAATTTCCCCTCCTTTGTTGTCAATCTAAACCCTCCATCTCCCATGGCTTCCCTATCGCCCAACAATGGCAGCAATGTCTCAATCACAGGCTCACAATTCAGCAACGAAACGAACTTTGTGTAAATTAGTTCCACTTTGTCCACTTCTTCGCTGATGAACAGAGAAAACACAATGTCTGCAATGGTTTGTGCTTCTTTTGCTGTCGGTACTGAACCGCCGCCGCAGCTGGTTATGTATTTATCGACTTGAACGTCGGACCGGCGGCGGAAATGCGAGTTACCCTTTTTTCCAACGCTGATTAGGATGTGACCCAGATCGAGATTTTTCAATTCGGCCAATCGGGTGTCGGCTTTTTTTATCACGGAAGCGTTGAAACCGCCACAGAGTCCCCGGTCACCGGTGAAGACGACGAGGGCGACTTTTCCGACGGGTGCAGGGATTAGAAAGGGGAAATCGATTTCGTGTGGTTGGATTTGTTGGGTGATGAAATGGAGAAATTGGGCGAGGGATTGGGCGAAGGGGCGACTGTTGATTACGGCTTCTTGGGCTCGGCGGACTTTGGCGGCGGCGACGAGCTTCATGGCTTCGGTGAGCTTCTGGGTGTTGTTGATGGAGTGTAATCGAGATTGGAGGTCGCGGGCGCCGCCGCCGCGGCATCGGATTGAAATGGGCGGTGGAGATTTGGGAATACGGCGGAGAAGGGTGGGAAATGGGGTTTGGTGGAATCTTGGTTCGAGAAAGTGGGTCATAGTGGGAGGAGATTTTTGAAGGGTTCTGTTTTTATGTTTGATGATCCGATCGGCGATCAAAACAGAGCCGCTTGATGTTGACGAACACAGACAGAACTTCAGGGGCCTGTTTTGAGGCTGTGAGAGAAGTATTAACTTTAGGGTTCACAACCAAGGCCTCAGTAATTATTATTATTATCATTATTTTAAATTACATCACTAGAATTATTATTAGTTTCATTATTTGAAATTAAATCAAAACTTGGACTACACCCATCATTTTTTTATTCGGTCAACTCGACTCGAAAATAGGGTTATAACCCTTCCAACTCTACTCTACTTTTTAAAAAATTACAAATATTTAATGTAGATTACCAACCAATTTAATCCAAAAATTTAAGTTTGTCCAAAAAAATTCACTGATTAAATATATGAAATGTATGTGTGCATTATGCGTTTGAAGTTTGAATTAAATGGAATTTTTTAGTGTTATTATAAGCTAGAAATTCACTTTGCTTATAATTATACCTAGGTTAAAAATTTGATTTACTCCTATAATTATATCTCTTATCTTTAAGTACTACTAATTTTTTAATAATTAGTTTGTTTATGATTCAATCATAAATCAAGTTTCTCTCGAGTCATGGAGAGGATTGTGCCATAATGTTCCCGTCCCAAAATCAGCACTTAAGGGAATTACTCATCTACTTACCCTACATGGGGGAGTGATATGAACTACGACCAAGGAATTTCCATACCTCAAGGTTCAATTACAAGGACGAGAGCTAAGAAGCTACAATAAACCTTATACAGTTATATTCAAGCTATGGTGAGCTCATCAAAGAAAATTCTAGAAGACGTTGAAGACCTCCCTTATATGTTGTGCAAAGTTGAGCTTCAAGAAAAAGATGAATTAAATGCATTTAAGTTGTATTTAATGAACTCTGCTGAATTTATGAAACTAGTCCAAGGATGAGTTAATAAGCACATTTTATTAATTGTATTATTAAATTATAGTTTAAATATTTGTTTGTCATATTTAAGCTAGTTTTAAATATAGGAGTTAAGGTTATATTGTAACCCACGTAATATTCCACCATTTATTAGCCCATTTAATTTGGGAGTTATATATCACATAAGTTAAGGTTGTAAGGGCTATATAAAGCCTTCTTTTCTTTGATTAGACCTCAGATTTTGGAATTAAGAATAGAATTTCTATTTTAGCTTTGTTGATAACTAAATTTTCTTTGCAAATTCTTGTGTTTAGAACTTGCATATAGAGTCATTCAAGTGGTATTAATCAAACCTCTTGTGGAGTGATTCGAATCACGAGTTTAGGAACGAGTTTTCTTTACTCTTGATCTTGATCATCAAGGTAATTCGTTCCATACTTTCCCTTGGGTTGATTGTCCATATCATTTGGTATCAGAGCTTCAGGCTCAAGATCGGATATATGTTTCATTGCGCTTATCTCTTTTAATTCTCTTATAATTTTTTTTCTCAGTTTGTGTAGAATGTTCATGTTCTATCACAAAAATATGTAACAAAAAAAAAAAAAAAAAATTCTTATGTTCTTTAAAGGGTTAGATCTGGATCTTATCAACACTTTGTTCTTCTTTAAGATCTTCTAAATCAATTTTCTTGCGGTAAATTGATAAGATTTTGCCAATGAGAAGAAAAAAAAAACCATTGAAAGAAAGAAAGCATATTGATGTTAAATGTCTTTCTTTTTTTCCTCTTGATTATTATATGTAACTCTCATATGTTCCTGCGTCTAAATTAGTCCTTAATCATTTTCTTTCTTTAATTCGTTTCTTTGTCGTTATTCGAATTGCTCCTTCAATACCCTGTGCATGTGTTGAGTGTGCTGTCTATTCACTTTGAATTGCACTTAGCTCTATAACATAGCTTGTCTCACATCCCAATTTGTTTTTTGGAGTGTGATTTGTGTGTGCTCAATTGTGAGGGTGAGTTTGTAAGGGAGTGACACATTGATTCGAGTGTTGAGTGCTAAACACAAGTGAACTACATTTACGAGTGAATACACATGAGGGAGCGCTTGTGAGGTCCTTTTTTTTTTTTCTTTTACCTTTCTTTTGTAGCATGGAAAATCTAGAGGACAATACTGACATTACTGATGCACGATTGAGAGAAGCCCAACAACGAACCATGGAAAGACTAATTCGAGGAATAGAAGAGTTGACTGATCGAATAGGCAGATTGGAGATTCAAAATCAAGCTCGACAGAGGATTCCACTACCTACGCCCTCAACCGATACATATGAGGGCAACAATTCTGATCACCACGAGGATAATACACATGTGGTTAATCATGGCTTGATGCGAGGGAGAGACCATGGAAGAAGGTATCATAATTTACAACAACGAGTTCCTTATGATGATAGAATTGATCGTAACGTGGGGAGCATCAAATTAAAACTTCCCAAGTTTTATGGAAAAACCGATCCAGAGGAGTACCTTCAATGGGAGAAAACGGTGGAGTCGGTGTTCAACTGTCATAATTTTAGTGATGAAAAGAAGGTACTGTTATGCATTGCTCAATTCAAACAATATGCTCAAATTTGGTGGGATAAATTGATGTCAAGTAGGAGAAGAAATCTTGAAGCACCAATTGATTCATGGGTCGAGTTCAAAGAGTCCATGAGGAAGCGTTTTGTTCCACAATATTTTCACCGGGACATGGCGCAAAAGCTTCAAGCATTGAAACAAGGACGCAAATCTGTGGAGGATTATTACAAGGAGATGGATACATTGATGGATCGACTTGAACTCGATGAGGACATGGAGGCTCTCATGGCGCGGTTTCTTAATGGGTTAAACACAGAGATTGCGGACAAGACTGATTTACAGCCTTATTCTAATATTGAGGAGTTGTTGCACATTGCAATTAAGATCGAGAGGCAAATCCAACGAAGGTCTCAACGGTATTCTTCTAAAACTTTTCCCAATTCTACTTCTACATGGAAAAGGGATAGTAAGAACATTGATTATACGCATAGAAATCAAGAGATTAATGTGAAGCCTCAAGCTAAATTTGAGAAAGGGGAGAGTTCTAGAACAGGGAAAGAAAAAGTAGAAAAGTCTAATGTTCGAAATAGAGATTTAAAGTGTTGGAGATGTCAAGGGGTAGGACACTATAGTAGAGATTGCCCAAATGCAAGAATTATGACCATCAAGGAGAACGTGGGGAGCATCAAATTAAAACTTCCCAAGTTTTATGGAAAAACCGATCCAGAGGAGTACCTTCTTAGTGAAGAGGACCCTACACATATATCTTTGGTTACTCGACGAGCTCTAAACACCCACATTAAGGAGGACGGCCTAGACCAAAGGGAGAACTTATTTCAAACTCGGTGTCTTGTTCAATCTGTACCTTGTAGTGTTGTAATTGATAGCGGTAGTTGCATCAATGTTGTGAGTTCCATTCTGGTCAAAAGACTTAATTTAAAGACACAACCACATCCAAGACCCTACAAGCTTCAATGGTTGAATGATTGTGGGGAAGTCCGGGTAACTCAACAAACTCTTGTTTCTTTTACTATTGGAAAATATGTTGATGATGTTTTATGTGATGTTGTTTCCATGCATGTTGGAGATTTACTACTGGGGAGGCCTTGGCAATTTGATCGTCGGGTAATGTATGATGTGTATGCAAATCGATACTTTTTTACTCACAACGGTAGAAAAACTACTCTTATTCCATTGTCTCCAAAAGATGTATTTATTGATCATTGCAAACTTGAAAAGAAAAGGCAAGAGGCTGATGCAAAAGCAAAGATTGAAAAAGAATCAAGTGAAAAAAAGAGCTTGAGGGAAAAGCAAAAGAGTAACACTCAGTCTAGAGAAAAAAAAGAGAGAAAAGTCAAATCAGTAAGCTTGTATGTTAGATCAAGTGAGGCTAGGAATGTTTTGCTCTCTAACCAGACTATTCTTGTACTTATGTGCATGGGATCTTGTTACTTTACTAACATGCTTAACCCTTCTTTGCCTAGTGATTTTGTTGTGCTTTTGCAAGAGTTTGAAGATTTATTTTTCGAGGAGAAACCTAGTAGTTTGCCACCACTTAGAGGGGATTGAACACAATTGACTTCATTCCTGGCGCGCCCATTCCAAACCGACCAGCTTATAGGACTAATCCAAAGGAGGCTGAAGAGATACAAAGGCAAGTAAGTGAACTCCTTGCTAAAGGGTATGTACGTGAAAGTTTGAGTCCTTGTTCTGTTCCAGTTATTCTTGTACCTAAGAAAGATGGTTCTTGGCGTATGTGTGTTGATTGTAGGGCTATAAACAAGATAACTATAAAGTATAGGCATCCAATTCCCATATTAGATGATATGCTTGATGAATTGCATGGATGTAGTCTTTTTACTAAGATTGATTTAAAATCGGGTTATCATCAAATTCGCATGCATATTGGGGATGAGTGGAAAACAACTTTTAAAACAAAGTATGGTCTTTATGAATGGTTGGTTATGCCTTTTGGATTAACTAATGCACCTAGTACATTCATGAGACTAATGAACCATGTCTTACGAGAATACTTAGGTAAGTTTGTGGTTGTTTATTTTGATGACATCCTTGTTTACTCTAAATCTTTAGATGATCATATTACCCATGTACGCAATGTTTTGACTACTTTAAGAAACGAATGTTTGTACGTAAATTTAAAGAAATGTAGCTTTTGCATGGAAAAAGTTAACTTTCTTGGGTTTGTAGTTTCATCTAATGGTGTTGAGGTTGATGAGGAGAAAGTGAAGACTATAAAAGATTGGCCTACACCTAAAAATGTAAGTGAGGTAAGAAGTTTTCATGGTCTTGCAAGTTTCTACAGTAGGTTCATTAAGAATTATAGTACAATTGCTTCACCCTTAAATGAACTTGTTAAGAAAAATGTATCCTTTATATGGGAAAAAGATCAAGAACTTTCTTTTAATACTTTGAAAGAAAAATTGAGTTCTGCTCCCTTGCTTGCCTTACCTAATTTTGAATCTACTTTTGAAATTGAATGTGATGCTAGTGGAGTAGGGATAGGCGCTGTATTAATGCAAAATCAAAGACCTTTAATGTTCTTTAGTGAGAAGTTGACTGGTGCATCTTTGAGGTATCCAACTTATGACAAAAAGCTTTATGCTTTGGTTCGTGCATTGCA